CTTTGATGACTTGTTTTTCTAACAAAAACATAAAACATAAAACATAACAAAAACAAAGCAAACATGAAACAAAAACAAGCGAGACGAATAACAAGCGAGGACCACCGACTCGGATCATCGGCTCTGAGGAAGACGAAGACGTCGAAACGTTAACCGGAAATAAACATCATTATCAACCTCGTTAAGTTCATCAAAGAAAGAATACAGGATGATTGCGCTAAAACGCCCAGACTAAAGAGTTACAGCGTCCAGAAAGCCAAAGGAGAAAATCAGTCACCGATACTCCTCGGATCTCTTCATTAACCACGTCCTCCTGCCCTCACATAAGATAAGGAAGGATAGATATGTCGTGCAACCTGTTCTCCTTTTCAAAATCCCACTTGCTATTTCGTCGGTGAGAAATCTAACAGCACCAGGTCCAGGCAGGATAAGGTTTGAATACCTGAAGAACTTTCGCCAGGCCTCGTAAGCACATTGGCTCATCTTCACACTTTACCAGTCTGAATTCAAACACCCTACTTAGTGGAAGACCAACAAGACTGTGCTATTATTCGAGAAGAGTGAGCTTCCACGATATCGTCAACTATCGCTCAATCAGCTTACTGTCTGCCTTCTATAAACTTTACACTCGAGTCGTCCTTAACTGGTTTGACAAAACACTGGACGAAGAAAAGTCAGGTGAGCAAGCATTATTTCGAAGAGGATTTGGTACGATGGACAACATCGACATGGTAACAAGACTCGCTGAAGTATCGTGAGAGTACAAAATTTCGCTCTGTCTAACTTTCATCGATTTAAAGAAAGCTTTTCCCTCAACTGAGATACTAGCAGCCACGGTAGCCATTGATTGTCACGGAGACCATACTAATTACATAACGATTCTTCGAAAACTGTACTGAAATTTGAAAATTAAGATATCGCTATTCTACAACAATATTAACATCAACGTTAAAAGAGGGGTTAGGCAAGGCGATACCATCTCGCCAAAGTTGTTTTTGTAAACAAACACTATTTGACAAATTTAACTACTGCTAACTTTTGTTCAAATACCTTAAAAATAGGAAGTTTTTTTATCTTTCCTTCTTCAGGAAAAGAAGTCACGTTTAGTAAAAATGAGCACAAGGACCTTTAACGTTACCTTCCTCTCTATCGGTACCTGTGGCCTTCTCAGTGACATCTTCTGTAACTGCTCATTTCGCCGGTATTTCAACAAGTGAAAATGGGACCCGAGCGATTGTGATGCGTGTTAGGATGCAAGCAGCGAGTATGCATTTTTTGGATGCATTGAATAATAGCTTTGGCTTTCAAAGAACTCGTTGGAATGCTGACTTTTGCACGAATTTTATGGTTTCAGATAATTTAGTTGGGTAGTCTCATCTAAATTACTTACTGAAAGCTCTGTTCTTCTGGTGTTTGACGTTCTCGAACAGCAGTGTCGTGCCGCCGGCCTCCCGGATACCACGATCCGAATCATTTTGAGTCAGCTCACTGTGGACGTCAACTATAAACCGTTACAATGCGCAGGTGGAACTCAACCGTCCTCACCCTACAGAAGAGATTGCTTGTGGGTTTTCAACACTTAACGCCTTTCCTGAGTCTTCAAGGCGGTACGTATATAAATTCGCGTATTCCGAAAAAAATATTGGAAATCTCTTTGCTTCTCAGTAGACACCTTTACCGATGAAAGCAAACTGCTTTCAAGGGAGGCATGTATCAATCAATTTTTCGCTGTGCGTTAATTGTTCGGATAATTTATGTTTCTCTTTTGAAAAAGAAACCTAATCAGTTGACACAGTTCACAGGGCAAATCATTAAATGCCTGGGTCTTCTGACGTTTAAATCATATTGGAACGTTATTCCCATTGTCGTTTATTCCTAACGTCTTCTTAGAAACGGAAACAAGTTTATGTCATGTTTACTTTCATCAATGGAACAGTGGAATATTGCAAAGTTGGCTTAACAAAACAAACACAGGTTTATGTCATGTTTTATAACAAGTAAAAAGAAGATATTTTTACTTTTATTCTAATGGGAGCGTATTCCTTTGAAACGAAGTTTCTGCAGGTTTCTGTGTTTCAACTTCTTAGAAAAATTCTTGTTGAAGTTAATTACTTATTTCGCAAAGTACTTTCAAGTGGTTATACCTGTGATAGAAGGTTGCACATCGATTGTTTATTGAGTGAAAAAAGAAAAACTAGTAACAAGAAAATAACCTCCATAACTGCGCGACTTTCAAACGGAAACGGACTTCTTGATGAAGCAATTTCCTGCTGATCCGGTGATGGATATGGCAACGAAATGCACTATCTCTGGTAGCACAGTGAGTGCAATATGCTATATGCAATGTAAGCTATGCTTCGGAAATAATGTAATGCATATTTCCGCCCAACATTCGTTAATTTCAGGATCTCTCTCGGTTTGAGCTGCATTCCTTAACATAGTAATTTGTTTCGGAAAGAAAAAAGAAGTCAATAGACCAATAATGTTATCGTGGTCAACTGGTCGAGAGCAAAAGTGCGAAAGCAATAAGTTTGTCAAGCATAAGACTGCGCAAAAATCAAGGAAGCGTTGGAAATCTCATGCAATAAATTAAAAAATATTTAATGTACTTCTTGTTGGTCGACCGGAAATTACACATTTGCAAAGGAAGAAAGAAGAAATGTAGATTTTGTATGAATGTGTCGTTTTCTTGTTCAGCAATCGCGAGGTTTTTAAACAGCATACATTTACTTCCATAAAAACACAATACAATACAACGCTAGCTGACGTTTCGGCAGTATCGCCTTCTTCAGAGCCTGGAAGGGTATACTGATATACAATCTACTAGGCCAAACGCTTCAATAACACTTACAAGAAGACGTAGATTTTGTAATAAATGAAAATATCTCTTAGTGAGAACAGAAAAGAGAGATGAAAGGAGGTTGCAAAGACTAAAATAAAAAAGGGTCTGAATGAATAATGCAATTCGATTTGTAGTTCTAATATTTCAACCAAAATGTGCTCGCTCGCATAGTGGGAGTTCTTCACCAATAATGGCACGGATTTAACTGAATAACATAACATGAAAAAGAAGCGTAGAGCGTTCAGAGTTTATTTACCCCTTAGAGATGCTCCATACTATCGAGTTGCGCAGGACATTCACAGCATTTTTAATTGTTGTTTGTGGCGCAGTGGTCGAAGGCGGCTGGCAGCACGTGGAATTAATCTCCGCGCTTATGGCTTGCCAAGNCTTCAATAACACTTACAAGAAGACGTAGATTTTGTAATAAATGAAAATATCTCTTAGTGAGAACAGAAAAGAGAGATGAAAGGAGGTTGCAAAGACTAAAATAAAAAAGGGTCTGAATGAATAATGCAATTCGATTTGTAGTTCTAATATTTCAACCAAAATGTGCTCGCTCGCATAGTGGGAGTTCTTCACCAATAATGGCACGGATTTAACTGAATAACATAACATGAAAAAGAAGCGTAGAGCGTTCAGAGTTTATTTACCCCTTAGAGATGCTCCATACTATCGAGTTGCGCAGGACATTCACAGCATTTTTAATTGTTGTTTGTGGCGCAGTGGTCGAAGGCGGCTGGCAGCACGTGGAATTAATCTCCGCGCTTATGGCTTGCCAAGACTTCCATCCCTCCGTCGTTGGCAAATTGGTACTAGGCTTGCCTGGGAGGATAGCAGCACTGGTTCGATACATCGGTAGGCCACCGCGAGTCATTGTAAAGGGCAGATTTGCATTCAATCACCTCCAAACGTTACTTACTGAAGTTGAATGCATGGTGCCTTCCTAAGGGATTGATCAACGCGGAGAGCTTTATCCTTTATCCTTTCGGTATTAAGAATACCGTGAGCAGATGCTATTTACTACCAGTTTATAATCTTATTTTTGCCTAGGTATTTCACGTCTTCCTTTATTATTGAACAATACTCACCCACACCGTCAGTCCCTTCCTCAATATCAACAAGCTTTATAGTAATCTTATAGAACCCACATTGTGCTTTCGCAATCTACTCAGGTTTTCATTGATATTACGAATTTCACCTAAAGGGATTCTGACATATGGACAAAACTACCAACCGCACCTGAGCTTCGAAGTCTCCATAACCTTTGTCGAGAGATCACGTGCCATCCACTACAATAGCTGAGGCCCCTACCTTGCTCTTTTCTCAGCCACTTTTTTACCTAGTCGTTGATGTCGGCAATCGCCCTTCACCAAGGTTCTAAACAGTATAATACTACTCTATCTGTGTTTCAACTTGCGCCGCAATTTTTGCAACGATAACGAAGTAGGCAGAGCTTTTGACAATTTCACTAACAGAAATACTTCACATGTCATGAAGGGGTAGTCTTATAGGGTTAAGGATAAAGGATAAGCTCTCGGCGTTAATCAATCCTTGAAGGATACGCCATACAATCAAGCATCGTTTGGTGGTGATTGAATGCATATTTGGCCTTTACATGACTCGCACTGGCCTAACGATGCACTGAGCCAGTGCTGCTTCCCTCCCAGACAGGTCCAGCACCAATTTTACGACCCCGAAGAGATGGAAGTTTTGGTGGGCCATAGGAGCAGCGATCGATTCCACGTATGTGTTGCAGGTCGCCTCCGACCACTGCACCACACGCGCTCTTTCATACGTGCATCGCGCTTAACAGTGGACTTCCACGCCCTCAGCTCGACTGAAGTGCTTGCAAAAAATTTGCTTATAGGATTACTATATTATATTTCATTTAAGTGGTTAGTATATTTTGGTAAATACATAGTATTTTGCTACACAGTACTTATGCGAATGGATAAATTTACATGATATTTGCGGAATAGATGTTTCGTATCGACCTTCCTCCCTATCCCTACTCTCCTCATCCACCTGCCATGAACGAGCCACCTGAACTTTTTTTAAAAGGTTGTCGGAAAGTTTTTCAATAGATAGTTCATATTGAGTTGATGGTCATAGAAAGAGCAATTTCTTTGCTGTTTTCTTCCTGTCGCACTGACCTTCATCAAAATAGGCTATGAAAATATGGAAAGAATAGATAGATATAAAACATTATCTATGCATGAGTTCAACTTTAAGTCTTTTACAACACCTGCTTCGCTACACTGAAGTCGGGCATCTCGGTGTATGGCGATTTGAATCGTCTTCGCTTTCGCAATATAAATTGTGTTACCACTTGCTCTTTTCCCGAGCAAGTAGGTGATTAAGAAAAATTTTACTAATTTTCTCTTCTTCATAAAACTTTTTTTCATAAACTTCGTAAAAACTTTATAAAACTAAACTAAAAACTAAAACTTTTTTTTTTCTTACGCATAGCTCATTGGTTTAAAATCGAAACAATACTTCTAGTGGACTTTATTTAATGATGAACCGGTACTTTATTCTTGTAAGTGCATGGTGCCTTGTAAGTGTAAGTGTAAGTAACAAAATCCGCTCATTGATGATGAAAAAAGACTTCATTGCCGACGCAGTACATGATGTAACGTGATTAAAACGTGTCCACAGTCGCAAATGTCCTCGTATAACCACAACGTTGCTGAGATATTTGCAAAACTCTGGACCGCTGGTGAATATTAAGCTGTGGCTGTAGTTGAAATCACAATGTTCTTAATTGGGTTCTATGTCGATTTGGGCTCCCCAGATCAACCCAGCTGACGGGTGATGGCTGTATCAAAAAGATCGATAGAAATAGCTGAGAGACAGGCGAAACGAAGGACCCGCATGGTGTGGTGGTGAACGCGTTACTCCCCGGCAAAAGATCGATAGAAATAGCTGAGAGACAGGCGAAACGAAGGACCCGCATGGTGTGGTGGTGAACGCGTTACTCCCCGGAAAGGACAGTAGCGCGTTCGTTCCCCACCATAATCACCTGCGGTCCAGAGTTTTGCAAATATCTCAGCAATGTTGTGGTTGTATTTCGTTTAGTAACCTGCCATGAAAGCCGCATTTCGTGATAAAAACCTCAGATAGTCGAGGAGATTTTTATCAAGGTAGGAAGTTCTAGTTATGACAGAAAGGACGTAGCTATATAATTAAGTAAGGAGGTGTCAACAGCAAACTTGTGAATACTGTCGTAGAAGAACACGGAGGTAGACTATTACGTGTTTCGATCTGGTCGCTATCAGACACTCCGTCGTAGGAATTAGATGGAATACGTAATCCTCGATGAGCAAACACGGTGCCAATAGAATTTAATGGTAAGTCAAGTGTCTCCACTGGAGTAACAGCAATAGCTGTTGTTTCGAGATGAGTCAGATTTTTGTTTGTGTTTGTGATCTAAAATATCTGATACATACATGCATGTTATCTACACCGGCCTTTCTTCACTTTCGCCTAGAAATGAACAAAATGCCGCTGGTTCAGCGATGTCAAATGACCATAATGAAGTCACACATGAACCGATTTGAATGTTTGTTCGATATAACCGAACACGGTTGCAAATTTTAAGCTAATGCAAATTTCTTTTCAGTAAGATCGACGTTTAACCTCGGTAGATAAATACTAAGTGTGTTTTTAAATTGTTGAGACTGCACACGGTTAGTATGGAAATATGTTAAGTGATGGACGGTTTGAAGATTGCTTGGCTCTTCGCTTTGTGCTGTCTAACATAACAATAATACAGCTGCTACAGGATATCCATCGTATTCTTTGCGCAAATGCGAGATGTTATTATATTTTTTATTCGCATAAAAAACACCTAGTCGGTAAACGTAAACTAAATACCCCACCACGCACACATAGAACCCAGAGAGATAACGGGGAAGAATTTGAACAACGGGTCACGATCCTCATGGAGGAATCGAGAACACAAGCGCGCAAAACTCTTGCTGCAGGATAGTTTATCCGTTGAAAAACAAACTCTTATCAACTGATAGTCGTATCAACAACAACCGCCTTGTATAAAAGAAAACTGCCGGGTGAGTATGCATAATTCGTGCGGTGTTCCACTTACGAAGAGAACCGTCTCGTTGCGATAGCAAAGTCGCCACAACGAGAAGAAGAACGATTGTGGGCCATCGACTCGGATCATCGGCTCAGACAAAGACGAATGCGGCGAAGCATTGAGCAGCTAAGCGCGAAATACCTGCTCAGACACTTCTTAACAAGAAGATTACCTCTCTGGTCATAAAGGTATTTTATCTCATCGCTCACTCCGCCGATCAGGTGAGTCATGAAACGGCTTCTCAGTTGTTTTTCCTTTTCCGTTTTGATGCGCATATGATTGTGTATTCTTATAGAAAAGAAAACTGCAAAAACACTCGTGTTCTCGCTTGTCGCAGACAGTTCTAAGATACTGTGTGACTTTAACGAGGAAGCTTACAATCTCTGCCGCTTGCACGAAATTGTCAGTGCATCGCCGACAGTTCTACTAGCATCAGCTGATGTTGATCGCTGCTCCATGAGAGGACACAATGCTTAGATAGCCAACTCGTTAGTTTTAATTCGTTTGACTGTGAAATTTGTGTCAATAACTGTATCATTACAGAAACGCACCACAATGCTCGCATGGAACCACCACCATGGACGACAATTGCGAGGGATCAAAACGCATGGCAAATGCACTGGGGTCCGAATAACTTGGCAAGATGGACCATCCAAGTATCCAAGTGTCATTACAGAAGGCAACACCGTATTGTTATCAACGACTTCAAAGAAACAAACGAGCGGCTACTGATACACGGAGTTCTTCGAAAACCGTGATATAGCACTTAGCTATACAACGTTTAGCATCATGTTTTTACCATCAACTTCCTCTAATCTTACTATAACCTGGAGATATAAAAGTATTTTACCATTTGTTTTTTCAAGTACAGACCTCTTTGGAATTGAAATTCGCATGAACTTGGATAGGAAGCTTATGTTTACAAGGCGAGCGCTTCAGCCTCAAACAAGAACACGAACTTTGAGCAAGATCATCTGTGTCCTTTTCCACGGGCTCACTGCTCAGCGAATAGATTTTCGGGAGAGGAGCCTCGAGAAAGAAAACATTTTGCGAAGTCGAAAAAAACGTAAAATTTTCGTTGCCGCAACATAAAATAATTAACGAAAACGTATGTATTATAGTGGTCTTGTCGATAAAGTTCAAAATTCAACTCGGCACTAGTTGTGCTCCAAAGGTCAACCCTGTTGACGGGCGGTTGCTAACATCACTTATAGGTCAATAAAACGGCTGAGAGAGTGGCGAAGCGAAGGAATCGCATTGCGTGGTGGTGAACAACGTAGCCCCCGGGAAGAGTAACAGCTTGTTCGCTTCCAACCGCCTACACCAGCGGTCCGGATTTTTGAAAATATTTCAGCACCATTGTGGTTGTATCACACATAATACCCTGCCATTAAAAAAGGGTAGACAGTTAATTAAAGGTGGCGACATTGTTATTCATATCCAATTTGTTTTTAGCAGAGTAGACGATGAAACGTTTTCGCATAGTACGCGACGAAAGATTTTTGCCAAAGCGGTCGCTGAATGGGAACGGTGCAGCTGCACTGGAAGGAGTTTACCACTTTGTGTTCTGCATATGTAATTACTGTTGACCATATGTAGCTCGAAAAAAACCGTGAACTTTATCAACGAGAGACATTACAAAGAGATGAACAACATAGGATCTGCAAACCCAGTCGATCACACAGCGGTTGCTCAAGGCCGATTCACCTTCGTCCAGTTTTGCAGTATTTTGCTCTTGAAGTGTTGAAATTTTCCAGTTTTTCATGTTTCATCTTTTATTGTGTTGGCTCACAGTACTCACTATAAATTGAAAAACATTAGGAAACACTGTTCCGTAGTACACTTCTTAATTCACTACTGATAGATTCGCTAAGGAATATCACTTACAACTGAAGATAGAAAATGAAGAGGTTTACCACCTAGTAATTCCTACCTACTAATTAAACATGGACCTGGAATATTCATTAAGTGGAGGAATGGATATTAAAGAAGAAACCTACTCCTCTCAATATAATTAAGATAAGGTTGTTTTGTTTATCGATTCGATTCTTCTGAGCAGAATAAGGCTGAATATCTTGGCTTTTTGATGAAAACATACATGCGTGAGCGTTTAGGCAAGATAGCTGCCTTTAATAAGGTTTTTTTCAAACGTGTTTACAAGAAATCAATTATCTTCTGAATGGCTAACATATGTGCAATACTTAGAGGGATACATTATCGTGCAGTAGTGTCTCTCTCCGAAAAACTCCGAAAAGCTGGGATTTAACTGCCACGACTGACTTTCTATTAACCTCGGCATTGACCAAGTGATTTTCTTAGTATTTTTGTTGAGCAAACGCGAGATGTTACTATTCTTTGTTCACGATTAAGCCTTGCCATTGCATTTATGTCTCAGGTGGAAGCATCGGTGACTGATCTCGGGCCGCTACTCTACTGTAGGTATGTAGACGACTGCTTTGTCCTTTGCTCAACACAAGAGGAAATGGACAAATGCTTCGAATTGTTAAACGCACCGTCAGAGTATATCAAGTTCACCCGAGAAAAGCCGAAAGAAAAATGGCTTCCATTTTTGAACGTACAAATTCACCTATCAGAAAATGGCTACATTACAAAGTGGTACCGAAAGCCAAGTAGTAAAAATATCTTGGTTCATTAGCTCTCCTCTCACCCCTCTCACACGAAAAGGGCGCTTATAAGAAACATGTTTCGAACAGCAACCAACGTGTGCACGGGAAGAGAGCAGAGAGAGGAGTCTCGGAACTTGGCACGGCAAATAGCCGTTTCTAATGGCTACGAAACTGTAGCTCAGAATAGGTGTAGAGGAAATCGTAGGCCTCCAAACGACAACTCTAGCGATAGAAGGGTCCCGTTTATCCTACCCTTCATCTCAAATGGTATAAGTACAGCTATAAAACGCTGCTTAAGAAGGGCGAGCTTAGAGAATTCGGTGAGCGTAGTTGAAATACCACCGAGTAATCTTAAGCGCCAGCTAGTTCGTAACCGCCTATATGACCGTCTATGTGCAACTCAAAATTGCATAATTTGCCCCAGTGGTAGAGACGGTGATTGCATGAGCTCGGGTATAGTTTATCTGATCTCCTGTAAGACGTGTGGTGACGAATACATTGGCGAAACGGGTAGACCCCTCTGTGTCCGCATGAAAGAACACCTAGCCGGCAAAAATAGACCAAATACCCCGCTAGGCACGCATAGGACCCAGAGACATAACGGGGACGACTTCGAAGTATGTGTCACGATCCTCGCACGCGAATCNAATTCGGTGAGCGTAGTTGAAATACCACCGAGTAATCTTAAGCGCCAGCTAGTTCGTAACCGCCTATATGACCGTCTATGTGCAACTCAAAATTGCATAATTTGCCCCAGTGGTAGAGACGGTGAATGCATGAGCTCGGGTATAGTTTATCTGATCTCCTGTAAGACGTGTGGTGACGAATACATTGGCGAAACGGGTAGACCCCTCTGTGTCCGCATGAAAGAACACCTAGCCGGCAAAAATAGACCAAATACCCCGCTAGGCACGCATAGGACCCAGAGACATAACGGGGACGACTTCGAAGTATGTGTCACGATCCTCGCACGCGAATCGAGAACACAGGCGCGAAAAACCCTCGAGGCACTCTGGAATAATTCCAGAAATCCGAAAATGAACCGCAGGGAAGAATGCCTCATTATCACGCGTGTTACAGGGCAGTATATAAAACTGCTTTTCTGATGTGAGGGCACGTTATACTTCCACGTGATTTCTGTGCGGTTGGTCTCTACGTGACATACTTAGCGGAAACCTCATAGAAAGCGGTGAGTGTGCAAAGCTGTGTTCAAAGTGATTGAAATCTTGGTGTGGAGTTTCTTTGTTTGGTTATGGAGGCGTCTGGCCGAGTGAGTTGCTATCAACTTGACCTTTCCAGGCTCTGAAGAAGGCGAAACCCGCCGAAACGTCAGCTTAATCGTGAACAAAGAATAGTAACACCTCGCGTTTGCTCAACAAAAATACGAAGAAAATCGCTGGGATTTAAGCTGATGCCGGCACGACCAGTTAGGACGGGTCATCCAAGTGTCCAAGTATACGAGTAGTCCTTGCTATAATAATACACAATATATAGTTCTTCCCTATACAATACGACCATCAATTTGATGGTCTGCAGTACATAAATGGATCTCATTTCTGGCGCGAAATATTAAAACAGTAGAGAGCAACGAAAAATATATGATGGATGGGAGTGAATAATAAAACAAAGAAATGCGGTCCAGAGTTTTGCAAATATCTCAGCAACGTTGTGGTTGTATTTCGCTTAGTAACCTGCCATGAAAATTATAGAAGGCAGAAAACAAAACGTTAAACATTGTGATTTCAACTACAGCCATAGCTTAACTGGGTTCTATGCCGATTTGCGCTCCCCAGATCAACCCCGCTGACGGGTGATTGCTGTGGCAAAAAGATCGATAGAAATAGCTGAGAGACGTGCGAAACAAAGGACCCGCATGGTGTGGTGGTGAACGCGTTACTCCCCGGAAAGGATAATAGCGCGTTCGTTCCCCACCATAGACACCTGCGGTCCAGAGTTTTGCAAATATCTCAGCAACGTTGTGGTTGTAAAACAAAGAACTTCAAGAAACTGGCGCTGTGCCACGTTCACCGGACCTCACATCTTCATTTCAATTCCGATTCGCATTCTGATTTCACTTTAATAACATGCAGTTGACGAGCACGACAAGCGCCAATGACCCGCTTTTGTGAGAGGGTGAATCTGTTTCCAAGCGATATGCCATGTGTGCGACTTTTTAATGATTCGATATTTGTGTTATTTCGGCAGTGTTCTCTACGATAATGATTACTGCGTTAATTTGAAGTGGTGCTGTTACGTTACTGGTAGGCATGGCAGCTGTAATGCTGATGATTTCACTCTCGTTCAATAGATCCGACGTCGATCTTGTCTATGAAGTGCAAATAGTCGAATTCCAGCAGTCCAATCTCCTCTGTGGCCGTTTTGCATTGAGTAAGTTAGGCTTCATATATAAAGCAAAGCAGCAAAGCTCTGGTTAATCAATCCTTGGTGGATGCAGCATGCATTTGACTTCTTTAAGCATCGTTAGAGGTGATCGAATGCACATCTGGCCTTTAAAATCGCCAAAATCTTCTGCCTATCCCTATAGCTTCACTCCTATGGCGCGAAAGCGCATAGCGTCAAAGCGTATAAGCTATTGGTCATGCAATTACCATAGAGATTTACGTCTTTTTGTGTGTGTTATTGAAGGATTTGGCCTAGTAAATTGTATATCGGTATACTCTTTCAAACTCCGAAAAAGGCGATACTGCCGAAACATCAAAACTACTGTTGTATCGTGTTGTGTATTTCTCTACGAAAGTAAATGTATGCTGTATAATCACCATGCGATTGCTGGACAGGAAAACGACGCATTAATGTAACTGAGACATTTCGGCAACTCGTGATATCGGTGTCCGGTGATCATTTTCGTTTTGCATGCACATAGTAGTCCACAAATCGTTGTTAATGAGAAGATTGTCTGTCCTCTTTGTGGCAGCACAATTGGCTACATGGGTCGCATATAACTCACACAACGCGTGGCATGAACTTAAATCTTTTTCTATACAGGACTGGGTGTTGTCGCAAACGTGGTAGAACACTGTACATTTCTGGTAGAACTTACTTATTAAGTTAATTGTACTTTTTCAGATATTTCTGATGTTTGTGCGATTGCCTCAAGGGTTTACTCATCTTGGGAAAGAAACAGTGACACTGAATCCATGACAATCTGATTACCAATTGCACTTCAGTCCAAGTGCTATCGCTTCACTGCTGATTATTTGTTTTGCATTTTTGGATGCGAATAATTCGGTGTTTTCGAAATTATTCGTGATATTGCGACATCGTTACAGAAGTTTGAAGCTCGTTATTTTGGACACTGGATAATCGACAACATTATTTGCTCAATCGTGTAGTGCTAGCTGTCCAACCTCGTATACTGGCTACGTTACGTGATAACGAAAAGAAACCTGGTCATCTTAAGCATGTATGATTAACATTTTGTTCCTCACTGCTTTGCGTTTTTTTTTCAGAGTATCCATTCCTACTTTTTATATTCCAGAATAGCCATGGTAAGGGTTGAGCAAGCGGTGGACACTGTAGTACAAACTAATATGCCAAAAACGACCTCTAGACTACAGACGCACGCTACCCTCACCCCAGTGGCCTTTTGTGAAGGTGACGATCTAGCTAAAGAATAGTGTGAGTTTATGCTCCTTTTTTGGCATATGCGTTTTTTTCTAACATTAAAATGGCAGTTACACGCGTTAACGTTCGTATATTTTTTAGACATTGCTGTTGCTCTTAAGTTGGAAGGCTTCGTAGTATTAAAAAGCTTGCTAATTACGATGCACCAGTGGCTACCAAGAAGTAGATGATTTCAATATCATTCTAATTGATTCCTTATGCGTATATGCATGACAGTGGTGTACCACCACATTTCTAATTTGCTATTGCCGTGTTCGGCACACGTGTGTTGGGATTTAGTCAGTTTAATAGTCAACTGTTAAGAAGACGCCGTTCTCGACAAGATCTATGAAGAATACATTTATCTCATACAACATATTCACGTTAGCGCTATGAAAGCTGAGATTTCGAAAGTCACCAAGAGACGTCTTTCACCAAAAGCACTCCAGCTGATACTCCATCGTGCAATCGCACGAGCTGCAGGCAACCGCGAACTAACGCCGGAATTTGCAAAACAAGACAGACAGGCGATAAAGGAAGATGTTAAAGAGAGAGAAGCGGCAGTCATGGTCGAAGCTGTAGAAGCATTCGCAGGACCAGTGGAAGCTTCGCCCATTGCAAAACCATAGTGATTCTATTCCGACGCTCAGATGGAAAAGTTGCACTTCCAGAAAGGCAATGCGGAAAATCATTCACGATTACAACTCAAATATCTTCAATAGCCCTGCCTTGCTGCCCTCATATGAAACAAAAGAGGATGGATATGTCATACCACCTGTTCTCCCTTCCGAAATTCGACATGCTATTTCGTCGGTGAAAAGTCGATCAGCACCAGGTTCGGACGGGAAAAGAACAGAACACATGAAGAGCCTTCCGCCAGTCCTTATAAACGCTCTCTCTCAGGTGTTCACACGTTACCGTTTTGAATGCAAGGTCCCTACTCATTGGAAGACCAGCAGCACCGTACTATTGTTCAAGAAGAGTGAGCTCTACGATATCGGCAACTACCGCCCAATCTGCTTGCTCTCTGCCGTCTACAAGCTCCTCACTCGAGTCACCTTAAGCAGGATTGACAGAATGCTGGTCGAAGGGTAGTCATGTGAACAAGCAGGGTTTCGAGAAGGTTATAGTGCAATGCACCACATCCACACGGTAAGAAGACTCATCGAAGTATCGCGAGAGTACAAAACAGCGCTCTCTCTCACTTTCATCGATTTAAACAAGGCCTTTGATTCAATTGAGATAGCAGTCAAGAAAGCCCTTCATGGTCAGGGAGGTGTTAGCATAAAGATTATTCGTGAGTTGTACAAAAATTTCACAACCAAGATATCACGATTTTACAGCTATATTAACATCGACGTGAGAAGAGGGGTTAGGCAAGACGATGCCATTTCGCCGAAATTATTTACCGCCACCTACGAGAACGTAATGCGAACATTGGAGTAGGATAATATAGGAGTGAAACTTGTTGGTCGGCACTTAGACCATCTTCGCTTTGCTTATGATATCGCCCTTATAACACGGAACATTAGTCAAGCAGAGCGGATGCTTGCCGAGTTTGATAAAACCTGTAAAAATTTGGTTGCCGACTAAATATCAGAAAATCGATCTTTATGAGGAACGGATTCGTTTCGTATGATCCAATAACGCACAAAGAAACGAATACCTCCGATTGCTCTAGCTATGTCCATCTAGATTGGGAAACCAATATGATGAACGACTTAGCTCCAGAGTTGAGCAGAGGAAAACGAGCAGCTTGGGAAGCTTTCAAGAGCATCGTGAAAGTGGTGAGGGGAACAAAGAACACCCGACTCCGTGCCCACCTTTTCGACTCAACGGCACTTCCGGCGTTGACATAGGCGTCAGAAGCCTGGTCACTGAATAAACAGAACGAAAAGCGTTATTGAACGCGCAGTCGAAAGAGCGACACTAGGAGAATCCCGTGCTACGCAAGTAAAAGAAGGATCCAAAGCTCCGACCTGTGTGATAAGGAAAGATGAAAGATGGCGTTCTGTTAGCCAGACAGTCGAAGATAAAGTGGGCTGGAGACGTAATGCTTATGAATGACAACCGATGGACAGGAACCGTTAGTGACTGGATTCCTCGGGATGTTAAACACATTGCAGGAAGACCGCCGACCCTATGGTCATGGTTCTTCATGAAAGGCCAAAAAGAAAGATATGATGTTAAACGCGTTCCTAAAGCTACTGGGCTACTCTGGCACTCAATAGGGAATAATGGAAGGTTTACTGGCGTCCGTTCGTGTCAGCCGACGATCAACGGGTCTATGGGTGATAAATGTGATTTACCAGTTCAAGGCATAACTAGCTCAGTGTTTTTCATTTCAAACTTTGGAGCCTTTATTTAGCCGAAGACTTTGTTTTATGAAACAATTTTATGGATAAGAAGAACTAACTAGGTTGTTAGCACAGAGGGCAGATGGCACAGTGGTAGTGATTCCAGCCATTACGAGCATGTTTTTAGTTCGATTTCGCTCTAGACCAACTAACCCTATCATCACCACAGGGTCGAGAATTTGGTAAATGCCTTGTCTGGGAAAAAATAACTCTCTGCAATCCAATTAGGAGCGCTCCAGCTCGGCTTTCCCGGGACTTCAAGGAGAATTGCTCGACCAGCATTTTACGACATTCAATGTGAAATAAAAATCCTCAAGCAGCAGCCGAAGCCACACGTAAAAGGTGGAAGATCCTCGTAGACAGTCGATCCGAAGAAGCGAATTGTATGTGAGAAGGGATGCTGGGATGCGCACAATGGGTGCGAAGTCGGACCAAACAAAAAAAAAGTGTAAAAAAAACTAATTTGTTAGTGTACCAGATTAAAATGTTTAATAACTTTAAAAATAATCAACATAATAATATCAAAATGTTTTGAAACAAATCTTCTTTCTTCGCTTAAGTCCACTGACCGAGTCGCTTGTGCCAGTGCTAGCCGTTGGAGAGGTTGACTTTTCCTCCCAGTCCCAGTGCTCATCCTTGCAAACCCCTTTCTCTTCTCGGACCTAAATTATGAGTTTTTCACTATGTTTTGGAAGCTATGTCGCCAAGATCATTCCTTTAGTGTAACATCACTTCTTAAACAAAATTTACCTCTGTTACTTAAACAAGGAAAAATTAGCTTCTTGCTTGCTACTGCTTACGCACAAAGCGCAAGAAACACGAGCATCTTCTTTTCGAAATTACTTGGAATTTCGAGTTATCCAAACGACGTCTAAAAACCAAAAAAAGTTGGTCAACGCGTTCTTACCACGCTTGAGCCAACTATGTGTCCACAAAGAAACGAACTTCCAGTTCCTAAACGGCGGCGGAAACCATAGTTAATACGGGTAGAATAACGGGTTTTTTTTTGGCGAAGCTGTGTTTCCGTTGATCATCGTTTTTTTTCTAGGCAACGAAAATGAACATTTTTAAACCAGGATATTATGAAGAGCATTCCTTGATTGGGCAACCATTCGGTGGCAGGAAATTTGAAAAAGTCATCGCTTTTCCTCTTAATGCTCGTTACTGCACTTATTTCTGTATGAGCAAGAAATTGATCTCACAGATGATTTGCACTCTTAATTGAGGTCCCTTGCACTCATTCATTATGCATTTAGGTTTATTTCTGGTGACGTTCAATGCAATATGCATGCATTTCATTCAGTGGGAGCTATCCCTTTAACAAAATTGCTATCCGGTTTGGATGTATAGACGACTGTCATCTGTGACGACCTTCTGATACTCCGCTCCTTCTCTTTTAGATCAAAACACTTTGCCTATTGAGCAACATCAGCTATCCATTACTAAACTTGTGTTGGGACGGCTCGTTGATATAGGAATACCAAGTAGTTAGGACGATTCGGTCGGAATTAGTTGCTCGCCTTTGTGTACGCCACGCGGGACTTCTTGTGATTAGCAGTCACAATGCCAGACGCCTCAAACTTGGGCAATTAAACCGTTTATCATAATTATTCAACATTCATAGAAATACAACTCTACAGAAAATGCAACAATGATACGGGTTATGAGTAGGCGTAGCCTGATCACTGGTGTTCAGGTTGCTTATAACTCAAGAGATTGGGATAACAGTACAACTGTGTAATTAATGCAACGATGATACAGGTAATGAATAGATGCAGCCTGGTCACTGATATTCGGGCTGCTTATGAGTGAAGAGATTGGCATGACCGTACAACTGTATAATTAATGAAACGATGATACGGGTAATGAATAGATGCAGCCTGGTCACTGATATTCAGACTACTAATGAGTGAAGAGATTGACATAACAGTACAACTGTATGATTAATGCAACGGTAATACGATAATGTGTGATATTTGGCGATATGTAAGCTGGGTGGATAAAAGCGGAATTGAAATGCTAACAAGCGATACACTTGAAGGAATTAACGCAGACAATGGTGTCGGAGCACTGAGGAATTGAGGGACCGGAATCAGACCGGTCGAACGCGGCTAACACTTCAGGACCAGTCCTATGGGCTGCCTGTATTACATCTGTAGTGGGTGGAGCTTTGCCAGAGAGAACTAAAGGCGGCGTCCGGAGAGTGGTTGCATGTGGAAGGGTGCAGGTGTCTGTTCGGAGACTTTTTGGAACGACACATGCTGAAAAGTGCATTCGGTTGACTGCTGCTGATTCCCTTTCCAGCCACCTGCGAGGCAATTGCATGAAACGGTTGTTAAGAGATGATTTACCGAATGTGTAAGAATAGATGTATGACGATTACGAATAGACAGGTGTTGTAGAAGGCATAAGGTTACAATTGTTCTACATAGAGAACATTCCAATATTCGTGAAGAATGTTCTCTATAACTTGTGTATAGAACGTGTAAATTCAGTATGCTAGAAAGCGTACTTCTTCGAGCATCTTATAAATTTTGTCGTGTTCCGGCTGTGACTCAAACGAGTACGAATCCACCATGGTAAGGATCTGGTCGAATTGCTTCGGCGTTTCGTAGAGAAACTGCATCCGGCCAATTGCTCGAGCCGCCTTTTTCTCTGCGCACACCGCACCAAGCTCTGTAACGGAAGATACATATGACACAGGTTAACCATCGACAAGTAATAGCGACAAAAGTGATCTCAGGAATCACTTTCTGTCGGGCTCAAAAGGCAGTTTCTTGTTCCATTCTCATAAAAGCAACCGCGTTTTTTTAATGGGGTAGAAGGTTGCTGGAAGCAAAACCACCGAGATTTGTTAATATTATCAAATACATTGCACCATTTCGTAAAATCTAGCTATTTTAATTAAAACGTTAGCCACTTTTTACACAACTGTTATATTTTACATTTTTACACAACTTAACCTAAGTTTTACTTAAGTTTTTTGCCTTCTTTTCAGACCGTGTTGTTCGAGAAGAGATACTTCACATCATTGGCACCTACAACTTGTTCTGTCTGTTCTTGTTCGACGTCGTCTACAAGCTCTTTACGAGCTCATCTTAAAATATGTTGATAGAAAATGGGGCTAAGAGCAGCTCTACGAACAATAGTGGTTTTGAAATAATAGGCCGTGCTAATAAGATTACTGAATTTACTGAAGTGTTGTGAAAATACGTAAAACAATTTCGCCTTATCATTGCTGACTAAGAAATCACCCTCCTTTGTGTTTAGGCTGAAGCATTCATAAAAGCTCTAGACAATCACAGCGCGCATTTTCACAGCACAAGTCTATTTTGTGAGCTATACAGCAACATTCCAACCAACGGCTTATCGCCTGATCGCGGCTGGGAGATGTTATTGGGTGTCAGGCCGCGATGTACAGCGTAGAGGTTCGTTCCATCGGCACGGTTTCCTATGCTGAAAAAGAGCCCGGCGGTTTCGTTATAAAGCCCACTTAAAAAGTAAACCAATACGATAATCCGCCACCACTCTGTTATCAAGATAGTCGAATGGTGGCAAACCTCCCTCTGATCCACAAAGGCTGCGGCTGCCTACGGTGGTGACGAATTGGGACAGACTTGCCCGAATAGCCTCAGGACTCCAGGGAAACACAGTGGATAAACCTGCAAAACTCCGAGAAATGGAGAACATGCTAGGACCCACACAATCGGTGAGGGCACGTCGTCCAAACATCCAAGTAAATATACGGCAACTTCACAATATTTCGCTAAGTTGTACCTAATGTCAGGTGTTATTGGTAAGACGCGACAAGATGTTACTAACTCATAAATCCGTTCTTAAAATCCTTCCTTTAAAACTGCAAGAAAAGTAAATGGAGCTGGAAGTCAAAGATGTCGGACACTTACAGCATTTTCGCCTCGCTGATGAAATGACTCTTATGGTATCAAACAACACCGTGCAGCACAATAAAAGAGTGATTTCAATGAGCATGGTGAAAGGTCGTTTTGCTTTTAAATTCAAAGCGAACGATTTTTGCGAGCAGTGGCCTAATTTTTAATGTCTCGGTCTCTGTGAAATGAATATATCGGACTCTCTAGTTGTATATGTATGGGTCGGCGATTGTATGAAGGTTATGAACGACTTAGGGATTACAGAGTTTGAGACGCTGCTAAGAACAGCACCGATAATATAATAAGGCACAACGGAAAACGTGTTGTATGCACACTTTTTATCTGCACTGTTTTGCTACTTATAGGGTTTGCGCAGCGAATCTGTACATTATGTGAATAGGATGAAGAATTGTCGGTTTTATTAAACTCGTTCAACAGCTAAAGAAGTGCTTAAAGTCTTACATTTCCTAAAATATGTATTGCGTAACGGTAGCAGTTTTGTTCCTTAATAATAGAAAACCCGAAAGAATATGCGAACATTATGCTTGCCTTCTTCAAATAACACTAATGGAACGGTACCATTAGACTTCACCTGATGAAGTGCTCCAAGGGGGCTTTCCTCTCGTCATTTCGGCAATTATATCAAGCCGACTGTCCAAGTCATCTCGCCTTCCAAGATCCTGAAAGCTAACGGAACCTTTTTGAGCAACTGCTGTTTATTGCAAGGTAAGAGCCATTCAACATTTGTGACGATATCCATAAAATTTTGGAGAATAAATGAAGCACCTCTTCACATTGTGCAAAATTCTGAGATGAATAACACTCCTAGAGAGAAATACATAAACATTCTAACAAAATTCTTTATTTTAAAAGGTTTTTTTGCACTGAAACTTTATACTTGCGACGCTAAAGATTTTGCCAGCAAAAGCTCACCTGTCGCTGATCAAAAATAGGGCTGCTGTATTCTGTTTTGCTTTTCTTGCCGACGTTTTTCGGTGCGGGAATCACTGTTCCATTCTGCCAGTAAAAATGAATGTTGGTAAATAGGTGAAAACGATGGTCCAAGACCACACAATTTTTTTTATGATAAAATTGTTTTTATAACACCAAGCATTGGGGAGGCAAAACGAATGCTTACCGACTTTGATGACGCATGTGGAAATATTGGACACGGGCTAAATCCTACAGAAACGATGTTCATGAGGAACGGGCTGGTTACGTATGTCTTATTCACGCTCAACAGAATGAATATCTCCGAATGCTCCAATTAGTCTATCTAGGTGGAAAAATCAAGATGAAAAACGACTTGGCTTCAAAGTTGAGCAGAAGGAAAAAGCGTCGAGGAGCATTAAAGAGCACCGATGGTGTCGTGAAGGGAATAAAAAACGCCCGACTTCATGGCCAATTTTTCGACACCACCATTCTTTTAGCCTTAACGTAACCGTACAAATATGCGGTCGTTACGTAAGCACGATGAAATATCGCTCAACATCATTCAATGCGCAGCCGAATGAGCGGTACTAGGAGTATCTCCTATCACGCAATGGAGGGAAGGGATCCGAAGCTCCGGTCCACGTCAGTTAAAGATACCGCTCTATACGCCAAACTGTTTAATATAAGGTGCTAGCTGGACACGTGATGTGTATTATCGGTAACCGATACACAAGAATTGTTAGTGAATGGATTCCTTGAGATGGCAAGAGTACTGTAGTAAAACAACCGACCCGGGTCAGAGTTCCTAGAGCGAGCAGAACTTATTGGGATACTATTGAAAGCGTCAGGAAGAGATGGAAAATTTACTGGTTCCCGCTCGAGTCACTTGACGAACAACGGGACGACAGGTGATACAGGTTACAGTGTGAACTGGACAGCTTCCCGGAAAAGTATTATCGCATGACCTAGGTAATCAAACAATTGTTTAGCATCTTTTGTAATTCGGACATCGATAAAAATCATTTGCACAGAGAGAAGTGTTTAACTACTTCAAAGCGACGAAAGGGTATCGAAACTCTCGAATTTATGCCAAAGATTGGAATTATGAAATTTGAAAACTATGAAGATAGCACGTTTCCTTTCAATCTAATGCTATACGTTCACCAAAGTGCTGTGCCGATGCCATCTTAATATATGGACAACCTGTATTGCATGAATGCATTTTTCCTACAAATATGAATAAATGAAGAAGGGCGACCATATACGGAAATTTCGCAAACGGCAGGATGTTGGCATGGTTACCAAAATTTTAATAGCACTCAGAAGTCCAAAATGGAAATGTTTAAAAAAACTGCCTTTTCAAGAGTTACTGACCAGACTTCTTCGCTAAGTCTAGTGCATAATCTAATACGATTATTTCAGCGGTACAGCGTCCACGACGACACCTTAATCTAGACAGTTTCTCTCTTGTAAAATTCAATTCTAATTGTTCGCTTCTGTTTACCTTAAATTTTAATTGTTTGCAATGGTGGTCTTTAAAGTGCAAGTAGGATATTTCGCAAAACTTTAGCTCAGCGGAGAAGATAACTTGCCATATCATAACAGGTTGAAGGTTCGCATTCGCTGACTCATTACCTTTCCTGGCTTTTTTGCTCATCTTGTCAGCGTACTTTTTTGACAGACCAGAGTCGTAGAGGAAGATGATTTTAGATTGTTTGTTGGAGCGATGACCAGGAGCAAAATTTCCAAACTTTATATCACATGATATGTAGCCCAGTCCATGGAGCTCTTCGATTGCCTTAATGGTAATTTTGATGCCTAATACATCTATTCCAGTATGGGTCGTTCATATATCACTTTTTCGACCGCTGCATTCTCCGCACAGTCTTTTCTGCTACATTTCTTGTGTTTGTTTAAGGTTGTTCTCGCAAAATTTAGCCAGGAAAAAAGCTTCCTAGGCTTTGTAATTTAAATAGAAGTCGTTTTGAAAGAATTCATTCCTGTTATTGAGCCTCCCAGCGATTGCCTTTCCTGTATACCAACGAAATGACACGAGCACTGTTGGCAATGATCAAATTTCTGGATGCCTCCCCAGCTCTGAGGGTGAGAGACTTCAGTCGGTATTGGCCTTAACTGACTAAATCTGCGCGAAACGAAAGTTGAGTGTTTTTACAAACGTGTGGAAATTGTCTACATTCATCCGAGACACATAAAATTATACGCGATTTATTGAGCACTTCGATGTGCTCGACCACAAATAAATTACTACCAGACTTTAGTTGAGTCCAAGATATCTGTGGCAGTTGGAGTGGCCGGTGTTAGTTCGTCCTAATCGTAAATGTGTGGCAGAAAGTATTTTGACCTCACCATTTTAAAGAAGCATACTTAACTCATGGCAAACTTCAGTAATTTCAGCCTATCTGTGACAATGACAGCAGCGGCCAGTGTACAATTAAATTGTTTCTACATGCTTTTAAGTTTTAGAAGCTGTTCAAAATCATCGTCTTTGGAAGTTTACAAAAGCAGCCCGAAAGCTCAGTCATTATAAGCCTGGCAGGTTTTATAACCACCCAAACAGACGACCCGTTCGTACTTTACTGGCTGAAGTCGTGTTTGTTTATTTGTTTCATTACTCAAAATACTAACCTCGAAAAAAAACATGAAGCAGTTCACGATTTTCAGAAGGTGTGGATTTCTTCTTTGTGCAATAAAAAAGTTTGTTTTCATTCGCGATTATCTGCAGAGTCTACTTATTTCTATCTGGTACATTTGCTGCAAGGCGCATTTACCACAAAACAAATCAGGCTTTCATTTTTAAACAAACAAAGTGAGCATTGTTAATTGAAAAACTTCTTCAATCTGCAGGTTCATGCCAGTGTTATAGTGGCTTTCTAATTCTAGCCAGATGAGATTCTGATATTCTGAGTCTCATAGATCGTGTCTTGTCCTTTTTGAAGGGTCTCAGTTCGAGGAGAAAACGAATATCAGAGCTGCGAGACTCCGTTAAACATGACACGATATTATAATTGAATTCCTTCTCAGTGTGTGCTCGATTATATTTAATTTTTATTGGCTTCAATATCTTTTTTGATTGGCTGAAGACTTGAAAGTCAAACCAAAGTAGCATTTTAAAAGTTGGTGGAGCAGCTCAAATTCTCCATTCGAGTTTTTCAGTTTCCGGATTTTCAAATGTTCTTTCCAGTTGTCACAAACTACGTGTGCAGCCCAAATTACGCCTCACCCAACACCGTAGCTAACAAAAATTAGGAGTCGAACTGTTGGTATTGGAGAGAAGTGCGATCATCTTACCTTCAATGATTTCATGGAAAGCCTTAGCGGCGTGCTGATGCCGAAGCAACTCTTTGGTGTTTCACATCTGAGGATGTGCAGATCCTTGAAAAGCACTGTCATCACTATATGTACATAATTTGCATCCATTGATTCCTTAAAGGTAAGAAAATGTTTACTCAATATATCGCTTAAAATTATACCTCATACTCACTTAATCTATTAAATCGCAGAAGTGCTTTGCCTTCGCTGCGGTAGCGGCTTTCAGCACTTCTACCTCGACGTGTAGCCTTGACTTACCATACTTCTCCCTCTTAGTAGCTGCCAATCTAAATAAAAAATGTTGTAAGAAAACCACAAGAGTAAGTGGTTTCGTTTTCTGAGAAAACGACAGTTTTCGTCGGCTTGAATTATGTGCGGTCGCTGCTAAGCTGGTGTTTGCATGACATATTGACATTCGTCATAAAATACTTTACGAAAACGTATTCGTATAAATAAGGTAAGTTCAGCATTTTGTGACTACGTGAATAAAGAACAGGCGACTTTAATAAAATGGCATAATGTTCTTGTCTCTTTAAATTCACAAGGAATTCTTGACGGAAGGTCTTTCAAAATGACTCTATACGTTTACGTAACGCTCATTTTAAAGCTTGTAAAGCCAGTAAAGGTCAACATTGAAAAGAATAAAGTGACAAGTGGAGAAAACGATGCAGATTGTGATTTCTGGGTCTAGATGTATTGTCCGTTTCAGCATGCAGAGGAATCCATGTAAGCCATGATTGCGGTGAATAAAGTAGAGATCCCACTTTTCACCGTTTTGGCTGAGGAAAGCGGTGCCGAATTCATTCGCTCTCAGCACTTTTTTTAATTTGAGCTTTTTTACGTTTCCGTGGATCCCATTGTTTATCGTTGGTAGGCGATGCTCTTAAACCGCCTTGTCTTTCTCTTCAGCAACTTTCGTTATATAAGCCACTTTCTCAGGTGCAGCGTTTTCCATTCTGTAACGCCTTTCAATTAAGAACAGATTGTGAAGTCATCTGGTAACAAACGAAATCACGTACCTTATTATTTAAAAAACAGCTTGGTGACAACAACAAGCACTCCCAACGCAACAATTCAGTGTAAGACAGCAGAAGGGTGATTGGACGTTAAAACACTCTGTATTATCATAAAAATTTATATCGGTGGTATCCGATTGATTTATCATGGACGGGAAATATCATGGAAAGCTATCTTTGCTGACACGAACGACCAAACTTTTTATGCTGATTCTAGTCAAGTATGAGAAGTGCATTCAAACTGTTCATTTCTTGATTACGGTTACGAGTTTTACTGAGTGAGGAAAAAGGCAAATTTCCCTGTCACGACGTGAAAAAGTGTTCAACATTTCTATCCTGGAAGCTCATGTAAGAGCAAGGCTATGTGATAACGAAGCATGGAAGGTTTCTTTTCGTTGCTTTTGAAAAAATGGTTTATCTCTCAGCTATTTCTATCGATCTTTGCCACAGCAATCACCCGTCAGCGCGATTGATCTGGGGCGCCCAAATCGGCATAGAACCCAGTTAAGCTGCGGCTGTAGTTGAAATCACAATCTTTTCATTTTCTGCCTACTATAATTTCGCAGCAGAGTACTAAGCGAACGGGTGATTTCTGTGGTAAAGATCGATAGAAATAGCTGAGAGACAGGCGAAACAAAAAACCCGCATGGTGTGGTGAACGCTCTACTCCCCGGAAAGAACAATAGCGCGTTCGTTCTCCACCATAGACACCTGCGATCCAGAGGTTTGCAAATATCTCAGCAACGTTGTGGTTGTATTTCGCTTAGTACCCTGCCGCGAAATTATGGTAGGCAAAAAATGAAGAGTATAAAAATGGTTTATTTAAACAAAGATGTTACCGTAAAGCTGTGATGACAAATCTGCTCCTAAGCAACTTATGCGAACTTTTTGCACTCCCGGCACAATTAAATTAATCTAGTGCCCTAGTTTCTTTACTCTGCCATACTCGCTCAAGCAGAACGTGCTTAGTAATAGGCCGAACTTAGACGTTTCCATAGATTCCCTATCTCCATTCATTATATTCAACCTTCATTCAACATCCTTCAAACGGTTTACCGCCTCATCGTAACTAGGAGATGTGTCCGACTGCGATGTACAAGAAGGGATTAATCCCATGACAGAATCTCCTGAGCTAAGAAGGTGTTTGGCGTTTCTATCAGAAAGCCTAGCTAGAGGTAAAACAATATCAAGTTCCACTACCGTTCTGATATCAAAGTCGCAAGGTGGCAAATCTCCCTCTAATCCACAAGGGCTGGGACTGCCTGTGGTGGCAAAGACCTGCGGCAGACGTTGGCTTGGCTGACCTCGGGGATTCCAGGATAACACAGTGGTTTAAGTAAAAAATCTCCGAAAAATAGAGATTATGCTGGAGCCCGCATAACCAGTGAGGACGATCTATTCAAGTATCAAGTATCAATTCAACATCGGCCGTTCGTTATTTGGACCCTACTTATATCTAGAATTGGCTATATTGAAGAGTAAGTGTGATGCTTAAACAGATAATTTGTGAAATCTAAACAATAAACGCAGTGTGGTCACTTTTTATTTAATGCCTCTTTTTTTCATGGCAGGGGTGATGTGAAATGCAGCCGCAATTATGCTGAGATATTTGCAAAGCTCCGGGTCGCAGGTGCTTCTGGCGGTGATCAAACTAGCTTCTATCCGTTCAGGGGCTAATATGCTCACAACCACACCACAGGGTCTTTCGCTTCGTTTTCTTTCGGCCGTGTTTTTACTTCTAACATTGTGGTTATCTTCAGGTGCACTAATACCAAGAACTGTAGAATAAATAGCAGGGAAAATTGCTCCGAGATCAGAAATGATTTCGCTCCGTTCATTGGCATCGATTTTTGGTGTGGAGTAGTGCAGTCATCAAACATATGCGACTCTACTCAGTTGTTCTTCCTTAGTGGAAGGCACGTAAGAAGCGGTCTGTTTTTCGAGAGTTTGTTGATCGTGTGATTACCATATAGATTTTCATCTTGCTGTGTGTTATTTGGGTAACAAATCGTCTACCACTGTGCCGTTCCAGGTTCCTAGGAAGTCAATTCTGCCGAAACATCAGGTACTGACATGTTGTGTTTGTTTTTTGCTTTTTTTTGTATTTGCTTTATGTTCGGAAGTAAACGTGTAGTGTATAACATACTCGTAATTGCTCACAGAAAAAACGACGGTTGAATCACTTTTTATTTAAATTTTCCAGGCTAAAGCAACTCTGCTGAATCCGCTACTCGTATTTCTGCTGCTGAGAAACAACAGTGCTTGAGATACTATTGAAAAATTGAGTGAACGTATCAACCGTATGGGAAACTCGTATTGAAATGCTAGTTATTCTGCCTCCAAAAAATGACAGATTCTTAGAAATATCCTTTAAGATGATCGTTTGGATCACCTCTCTGTGGAGGCTTTGAAGAGGTTTCAACACCCATTATCGTATTTCTTTTTCAGTCACTAGCATCCCTTTCTACTGAAACACACAGCGATCGTGGAAGGAGTCCTCTGTTTGTATTCTTGAGGCACTGTAATTTCTTACACAAAGGCAGACGATTTTGTCGAGCTATAGAACAGAAAACAGGCCGATCTCGAGTTTCCAGGCATGGACAGTGCTAAGCCAACAAAACTCCGAAGAACGGAGGCTATGCTAGGGCTCGCACATCAATGTGGACAAGCCACTCAAGAATCCAAGTACAGAACAGAAAACGGAAAAAATGAAAATCTGGTTCGTCGTGTGTAAAAAAAATTTATTGAAAATTTTGCTTTCACCTTCCAATTGTGCATTGGAATTGACTGGAATTTCCACTTGTTTCGACCACTACGTTAAGCGACGCAAGTAATGTCGTTAACGTTCTTCAGAAAAGTTTAATATTCTTCTTTTTTGATCAAAGATTTGGTCGAGTCAAGAGTCAAAATTAATCCTTTATGCTATACATGGCAGTGCAGAAGAACCTAAATTTGAAAAAAAATATTTTTTGTCATTAGGAAAAAAATGAAATTGTTACTAAGCTCAATGAATAGTTGAAACATGAGACGAACGGAAGCGCAGTGGTCACGTCATAAGGAACACTATACAACGGTTTCCTTACTTTACACAAAGGGCGTCATGGTTCACCAAGCATGAAGGTATTGGAGAGATCTTAATTGATTTCCGACGACGAATTTGCATTAGAAGATGGCTGTGGTGATATTTCCGCTTTAGCACCTAAGATTGTCTATAAAAACATTTTCAATGGCGGCCAAACTCAAACAATAGCCATTTTCAATGCTTGCAATACGGTCGTATCTGAAGAAAGGCTTGAAGGAAGAACACGCTTCGAAACGAGAACTGTAGTTAAAATAGGGCCTCGTTCACCCTGCCCATTATTTCAAACGAACTAAGCACAGCTATAAATCGCTGCCTAAAAAGGACGGTCTAGATAGGTCGGTAGCAGTTATTGAAATACCAAGAACACATTAAGGAGCCAGTTAGTTCGTAACCATTTCTGAGACCAATGGTTTATTGTTTTTCCTAAATAGCAAGCATGAGTTTGGTATGGCAGCATCTATTAATTTAGAATAGCTAATGCTTCGGCGGTTTCGCATTATTCAGTGCCTGAAATGGTCAAACCGTTATGCAATCTGCACAGTCAAACACTTGCATAACCTAGCAGACAAAATTCGAGAATTCTCATTCGTATAATGAACGGCTTTTTCAAACACCTAACGTTTGAAAAACTCTATGTGTGGACGAATACGTTGCGGAAACGCGTAAAGTACTCTGGGTCTGTGTAAAAGAGTACCTAGGTTGCAAGCGTAACGTTAAAGAAAACACTCCACTGGAGATGCATAGGATACGTATCTGACGGAGAACAGTTTCCGACTGAAGTCATAATCCTTGTAAGGAATTCCGAAATTTCAGCGCGTAAAAGTTTTGAAGCGCTTTGTATAAATAGGTATAATAACAATAATTATATTGTATAATTCAATATAAATAATGTAGATATAAATATAATATACATAGTGCGGTTGTTTTCCAATAATAACCGGAGATTTTCTATTAACCTCGGCATTGATTAAGTGATTTTCTTCGTATTTTTGTTGAGCAAACGCGAGGTGTTACTATTCTTTGTTCACGATTAAGCTGACGTTTCGGCGGATTTCGGATTCGCGATTTCGGATTTTACTTCCACGTGATTTCTGTGCGGTTGGTCTCTACGTGACATAGTGGAAACCTAATAGAAAGCGGCTCTGAAGAAGGCGAAATCCGCCGAAACGTCAGCTTAATCGTGAACAAAGAATAGTAACACCTCGCGTTTGCTCAACAAAAATACGAAGAAAATAACCGGAGAGCTTAAGAAGAACAAAGAGGCGAGTAATTCCTACGATCCACTATCTGTTAACGTTTGAAGCGTTTGACGTGACCAATTTCATATAAATGTTCCCTTCCAAGCTCTAAAGATAGCAGTACGGCGAACACGTCAGCCATTCTACACTAATAGGTTCTGTAATACCACACTCATGCTCGCTCATCAATAAGACTATGTCTTTAGGAGTGGTTTCAAAAACTTTGTTTTTAGCGTGGTGCAGTTGTATGAAGCTTAATGGGAAATTATCCGACAAAAAAAAGGGAATGCACCTTTGAAAGATAACCAGTCAAAAAGTAGCTGTCCGTTTTGGTGATTTTCTGACCACGCTTGCAAACATGTTACACGGCTGTTTTTTATTCATCCTGAGAGGAAAAGGACGCATGTAACGCAGTGGTCGGAGGCGTTCAGCAATAAACATGGGAACAACTCTACGCCCAACATAGCAGCACTGGCTTGACACATCGGTAGGTCACCACGAGTCATTGGAAAGACCTGGCGTGCATTTAAGCACGTCCATCGATTCTCAATTAAGTCGAATGCATGACTTACACCTCAGCGATTGATCAAAGTCTCGAGTCTTTGGAGCTTTGGCTTTCACTGCAGGATGCTGATTGATGAGGATGTCTTTAGTACAATTTTTATATCCTGTGATTTCAAATAACACATTCTTTCGGTGAAGGCACTGATTCTGGTATGTGCACATTAGCCGCTAAAATCTACAAGGAAATTCCTGATCGCATCAGAAATACGTTTTCGGTGCTTCCCAGCCCACAAGTCTCAGAAGCAGTAGGTTACTAAATCATCATTCGGTGCACCTCTTGGTATATTACAGGTTTATTTTTAAAAAATACGGTAAGTTTTTAAAAACCTGAGCAAAAGTTGTTCAATATGTTACCTATGGAGCCGTTTTTCAGGTTATACAGCTGTACAGCGCGACTCCTTCTGCGTATCAACTTCTAGCGAATAATTCAAAAGACCGATTTTCTATAAACATCGGAATAATTAGTTGATATATTTTTAAAAGGGTTTATGGGTTTAATTGTCTAAGTTTGAGGCTCTGAAGTTGGCGAAATCGGCGAACTGTCAGCCATCGATCAACAACACTAGCAGTTGCAATATGAACAGCAAAAACAGCAACAACGACAACAAAGACTTGTGCCAACCTCACACAGGCTTAAAAAGATTGGTTTATAAGGTCGTATAAATCTTAGAAAACACATACTATACAAATTATAAGCGAATAGCCTTATAAGGTTATCATACTATTTCCAACTCGATGGTATACTTTGGCAATTGTTTGAAATTACAAATTACTTATGCGAATCGATAAATATCGGTACTCTTTGTGGAATACATGTTTATTGTTGACCTTTCCCTCCTCTAAAATGTTAAGAGTTAAACGGTAAAACGCAGTTTTAAGACATATTTTTGACGACATGCCATACGTCCTTTCTGCAAGTAGAACTAGTCGCTCCACACAATTCCATATGCTGCCATTTTTCTACAACAATCATAGGAGAAAATAATAGCTAGACGCTACGTAAAAACCGAATGAGTGACGAACTTTTGCCGAATGGTACTGCAATTAGGTTCGGCCTTTTGCAGCTCCTATGCACCGATCTATTCTTTTGCTTCTAATTTCATAGAAAAAACAACTTAACAAAAGTTGCGTTAGTGTTCTGGAATTTATTGTCTAAACAGCAAGGTTGAACTCTTAAAGTATTTAACTGGATCACCATCCTGCTGCTCATCGTAACAAAAGCAGCGATACAGAAAAATAAACGAGAAAAGTATAATGGGAGAAGTTTGTCAAAGGATTTTTACCATTATCATCTAAATAAGTCAAGCAAGCAAAAAATTGACATTTGGTCTTTTTAGGAAGTGGCCGAGCGGATGCTTATTATACTAAGCAAAACTTTATAGCACTTGGTGCACCGGTTTCTTCACAGTGCTATGGTGAAATGCTAAGCCATTCATGTGCTGATAGAAATGTTTCATAAAATTTATTGTTTCCTAAAACTCTTTAAGGGTTTCAGCTCGTCATACATATAAATATTTAGATATATGCGCTCGAAAGTGGTGCGAAGTTTTCGAGTTTTTAATATTTTGGCATTAGACTCCATTGACTTCACATTTCTAAAACTGGCGCTTGTGGTGTTCCTGCACGTGGAATGAAAATGTCAGCTACGTCCGTCGCCAAGTCGAACGCCATTCAGGAACTTTTCGGAAAAAATTAAGACTACTTCATATGTACCAGCTCTTTTAGACATTTTTCATCGGAAGACTCTTGGTGTGTTTTAAGTCAAATTTTCGTTGAAATAAATCGTTGTCTTTATTGGAGCACTATTCCTCAACGGCCATAGTTTAGCTATCGTTGTGGCTACAGATCAAACAGAATAGGAAAAGTAAGAACAAAAACCGTTTATTCTAAATGTAAGAATAGCTTATGAATACGGTTTGATTTTGTCTAGTGCAAAAATGCACGTAAGGAATAAATGATGACGAGGTTTGGTACTCTTAATTTTACAAGGTCGATTTCATTAAAAACAGATCCACTTTACCCTTGGGATGGCTGGAGGAATTAACCAAAACGCTCTGTGTACAGAGAAGAGTAATTCTTGCGCTTTCCTTTCCCGAAGTTTCTTTCTACCTTTTAATAACTATCTCCTATACAGAAAGATTTTGCCATAGAGCACTTTTTCATTGGTGTATTGCTGAAGATATAGATGAACTGGAATTCCCAAATGCCGAACCGACCATGGATGATCTGGTTTCTGATTCTCACCAATATCAGGTAATTGTGTGGTATTCTGGTATTTTCTTACTTTTCGCTGCGCATCCTCATGAGAACCTGCGCACTACTTTGGAGATGCAGGCTCTGGGGTGGGGGATTAATGCATAAGATGTTTAGTCCATTAAAGCACTTTATCTCTACACGTCGTACTTGTTCTAAATTGTGAGATCTCCTCTAAATATAATTCTCAATGGTGAACACTTGTAGCTAACCGTTGGTTGACTGCAATTTAATATTGATGACATCTGTCAAAGCGCAGCTTAATTTCAAATGAAGTTGGCAGCTCGCACGTAATGTTTAGCGCAGCATGGGAGTAACACAGAATGGCTGTACCGAAAGAAGTTTCTTCAGTCGCTATACTTTAGTCTATAGGTTTGAATTTAGTTTCAAGTCATCTTAGCCGTACAAGTTCCAGGTTTATATTTTCAGCAAAGAATGTTGCGAGCACATTGATTTAATAGGGAGAACTTTCAATTCCCACTAACTGTTCTTAAGGTTACCGGAAGTGTAGAATTTCAAAACTAATCGTGGTGGGCATTTGTTATCGCCTGCTTATTAATGGCTCGTTTCGTCATTTCGGTATCTAATTCCCGAGAAATTCTTTCTGGAAACCTAGCTAGAGATAAACCTATTTTATATCGGAGCCCAACGAATTATTTACGCCTACGCTCTTGATGAAAACGCTAGATAGAATGCTGTGAGTGCAATACTCTTCATGACGTTTGATGAAGTTGATCCTATTAAGAACTTGCAAGCGATGGAGAATAATGTATACATCTTACGCTCAAATTTCAATGATTGACAGGATAACAGCACACACATGTCCCTGTTTTGTAGTTTAGTCTTGTTCCGTGGATTTTATAGTACTAATTAAGTCGGGTGCAACGAATGACTATAGACGTGAGTAGTGTAGTGGTTAGAGATGCCCTGCAATACATATTGGGTCAATCACCCTGCTCACCTATCCCGTCACCTATCAGAGCTTGGCAAATTGGTGGTACTAGTGTTTGGAAGAATAGAGGCCATTAACGTTTTACATAGGCAGGTTACTGCAAGTTATTGTATGCGTCCGACATAAATTAAATCACCACAACGATGTCTGATGGAGTCAAATGCATTGCGCATCCCTTAAAGGTTCAACAGCGAAAGCTTTTCTTTTCCTACAACAAATGAGACACCTAGGAAGAGTAAAAGTGTATTGGAACAATGTTGGTATTATGTGGCTACTTTTTTTGAGATTTCGTTGTCAAAAATGGAATGGCGGATGAGAAGCGCTACCGGTTAAAGGAAGCTCGAACTAATGCTTCCAGTAACGTAAGAAAAACTCGTTGTTCACTGACACAGACCATAGATTTCTAACGTAGTACTGTAGCGCCGTTGAGACTGCGCAAGATATCAAAATTGGAAGCTGTTTTGTTAACCGCTATGTGTTAACTGACATAATACCGACTGCTGCAGCGTGGATTATTCGTTGAAGACAAGCTGCCATCAACGGAGAGATATGTCATCAACAACCGCCCTGAATAAAAAAGCAATGCCGGGTGAGCATGCCTCATTCGTGCGATGTTCTACACTGCAGTGTCCATCTCGTTGTGGCTACGAAGACGCCACCTCGTGAAGGTGAGAACCGTGGACGATTAACTCGGATCGTCCGAAGAACTAAATACAAAAGAGCTATTAAGTGGTAAATGAACCTTTTCCTCCTTCGATAGAGTAGTTCAAGAACGATTGTATCAAGTAATTCCGAAATCGAATCTGGAAAAGGCATGAAATTTTTCTGCAAAAAGCATGAAAATCCAATCGTGGCCTACTACCGTCGTAGCAGAAAAATGTGAATCTAATTCTCGGTTAAAATGCGTGATGAGTAATTTGATACGAACATTTCTCTCACAAAATCTTTTTTCTGCATGACAAATTGAAGGCATAGTTAGCACCATGAATCCATCAGATCATGCTTTAGAAATTTGCATAGTAATAAAAGTAAATACCGAAAACTAAACCACGAATGGACCAAAATGGCAAGGGCTGCTGGTTTGAAACCATCAGTTATCTCTCAACTTAAAGTTGCCTTACCAACATGCCCCGTCTTGTACTTACTTATAAAAACTCATAAGTTAGTAACCAGCGATGATCTTGCGTCTACCGATCCATCACTATTTAAGGTTAGACCTATCACTAGCTGTGTAGACGGGCCAACGGACAGGATAACATGGTTTTTAACCCTAATATTTAACCAGTTGTTGAAACACATTCCAGCCCATCTTACGAATACCCAGATGTTTCTGGATCGTCTACGTACTGCGCAGCCCAACAGCGCGTGCGTGATGGAGTCCTTCGACTTTACCGCCCTTTATACAAACGTGTCGAATGACTCCGCAATGCAAGCCATATTCGAACTCCTTACACAACACGAAGGAGAAATAAACATGTATGGCTTTAGGATAGAGCACCTGATGGCACTCTTAAAAGAATGCTTGAGCTGCTCAATCTTCAGATGGTCTTGAAAGTACTACGCTCAAATAAGAGGGTTGGCAATGGGACGACGACTGGCTCCAAGCCTTGCCATTGCATTTATGTCTAAGGTGGAAGCACCGGTGACTGATCTCGGGCCGCTACTCTACTGTAGGTATGTAGACGACTGCTTTGTCCTTTGCTCAACACAAGAGGAAATGGACAAATGCTTCGAATTGTTAAACGCACAGTCAGAGTATATCAAGTTCACCCGAGAAAAGCCGAAAGAAAAATGGCTTCCATTTTTGAACGTACAAATTCACCTATCAGAAAATGGCTACATTACAAAGTGGTACCGAAAGCCAAGTAGTAAAAATATCTTGGTTCATTACCTCACCTCTCACCCCTCTCACACGAAAAGGGCGCTTATAAGAAACATGTTTCGAACAGCAACCAACGTGTGCACGGGAAGAGAGCAGAGAGAGGAGTCCCGGAACTTGGCACGGCAAATAGCC